TTTCTTTCTTCTTTCTTTCTTCTTTCTTTCTTCTTTTTTTTTTTTTTTTGCAAATTTATATTTCTGCAATTTTTTTTTCTTTTTCCCTTTCCCTCTCTATATCTCCATATTTTTGTCCGATTCTCAATGATAATGTCTAATTGTCTGATCAACCTTGTCGGTTGACTCGGTTCCACAAGTTCTTTGGCCTCACCATCTACAGGCCTCCTTCGCTTTTCTTTCTTTCCTTCCCTTCCTTTTTTTCTTTTTCTGCCGGTCTTATTCGCAGTGCGTTGCTTTCGATGTGATGAGTTCTTTTTTTTCTCTCATCTTTCGCCCTTCTGCCTCTCTTTTCCTCTCTTCTGCGGGAGGTACTTTACAGAGTCTTGTCTGGACATTCTTTCTTAGCCCCAATGCTATATCCCCCATGTTATTCCCTATATTACTTTTTATATGTCAAAGTCGATAATAGTCAAAGCTTTTTCTTTTTTTTATGTCCAGGAAATCTGGGATCTGTCAGCTGTCACCGATGCCTCGGACTTCTTGGACGTTACCTTGCAGCGTTCAAGGGTAGGGTGCTATGGTCTTGCACATATATACCCTACCAGATCTCCATATGTCATTCACACTGAGGCTTCTTACCGGAAGTCCCTAGGCTTTTCTTCCCTTATTTGAGACTCGGAGCCCGCTCGCCATTACTGGGATCCATAGTATACGAACAGTGTTTTATTTACACCTCCATCACTTGTCTCTTCTGGAATTACTTCAAGTTTTCTGTCCTCTCTTCTTTCTCCCCTTATTCCTTTTCTCTATCGTATTTAGGCGTGCCTCTCTACTTTCGACGCCACCTCACCGTACACTCCATTACAAAGAGATTGTATCATCAAAGTTTCCAGAAACAGAATCCTTGCTATTCGAGGGTTTTTGGCTTATAAAAACTTCACCCTACTATATCACATTCTCCATCTCTGTATCAATATAGATTTGGATGATAGGGCGAGCAGTACGAGTTGCTTCCTTGTGCAGTGAGATTATCCGTGTTAATCTGTGCATGCATTAAATTGGAAAGTTCTCAACTTTCTGGCTGCCAACAAGAGACGAAAGCCAAACCGAAAGTCATTATGAGTGGTTTTGGAAGGCGAAGTAATGAGGGCCATGGTAGCTATACCATGAACCAGCAAGTTGCCTTGCCTGTTCCATATAGCCAAGGGGAAGGTCATGAGTTCAGCATAAACGACTCTGGCTCATATCATTTCCCATCTCAGTCTTTCAATGCATATACTTCCCAATTCAGCTCTCCATACAGCCACTCAGGCATATCAACTCATAACCAGCATATGTCTTCTCCCCATTTACCTGTGCACTCTGTGCCGTCAACCCCTGACCATACGGCCATACAACAACAACAACCCCACCACCACCACCATCAGTCGGTACAGTACATGGCACCATTACGCTATTTCCAGTCCCAAAGATATCTGCCTTTCCGCGAAACACTTGGGGAGACAGACATCGAAAGTCAAGACTCCCGAAACGAGAATACGATGTTATCGGAGCCAGTCATTCCCCCACTGGATGGATTCCCAAACGTACGGGAATTCGATCAACTAATGAGAAGGTAAGTAGTCCACACGTCCAAAGAATCCACTTCGGTGTTTTAAGTAGAGAGGGGCCTTACTTATGCGGGGTGTTCTACTTCAGCTATGTCGACGACCTCTCCGTTAAGAAACAAGACAAAGCGTTGATTCATGCTAAAAGGGCCAGAAACATAAGGACGGTCTTATTAGATCCAAAGGATACGACTGTAGAATCTGCCCAGTTTCGGTATGGATTTTTCCTGACCTTTTCCTGCGGCTGGAAGCATCCCTACTATTTTCAAGCCTTTCACCAAGACCATGATTGTGTTTGCATCAGCTAAATGTATAGCATCAGATTTTGGGTCAAAAAGATGTTCAAACTTCAAGTAGTTGGTACAGGGACTTCAGATGTCCGTATTCGCTCCTTATCAGGTTGAAGAACATTATTGCTGATGCTCACATGCCTTTCAAGTGCATGAAAATGGTCTGTCATGAAGGAAAGCCCGTGGCTATCCGAGAGAAGCTTTTCAAGATTCTTACCAGGCACATCAACAGTGCCAACACGGTGGTAGAGATAAAACATCTGCTCAGGTGCGGCAGATTTATTCATGGTACGTCTGTCTGTTTTTCAAATGAATTGTCTGCACCTTCCAGGCCTATCTTTTCGAGAACATCCCGATGCCCCAGTCATCATTAACCGGTGGAGACTGACTGTAAGCATACGTTGATCTTCGTCAAAGGGTCCCTAAAGAACTCATCTCGCGTTTTGTAAAAATATGTCCGACTTGTCAAGTTCGCCGGGGAGGTTCGCGCCTCACCCCTCCTAATTCAAGAAGAAGCTCACCCCGTCTCGAGATAGTATCTCGTTCCCCAAAACTTCCATCGCCACCCATATCAAGATGTGAATCCAGTCTGAACGTTCAATTGCCGTTGGACAGGCCACAGGCGAGCTACTTGACTCAGTTTAATGGCCACAATAGCTGGTTGGAGAGTCAAAGGGGTATACACCAACGGTCAAACTTGAGCCCCGGACACGCCTTTGCCAAAGCAACGCCCCCCCTGCCCAGTTCAGTTTCTGCATTGGACTCTCCCTATGGGGATCTCCCAGATCCATCGTCACAGGTTAATTATAATTCGGGTTTCGCTACTGCACATGGCCCGTCTAGCCATCGAGACTTTTAGAGTTCTCCATTCGACCGGCGAATCATCAGATGGGTTCGAAATGGCCCCGACAATATGGTACCTTGGGTTTATTTCTTTCTCTGTTCTTTTTCTTTCTCTTCTTGCTCTTTCAATTTCTAATGCAAAGAATGTATTTTTCTCAAGTAATATTTAGCAGTTTTTAACAAACGTTTGTGATCGTTGGAGAAGTACGTGCACTTGACTAAACCAAGCGTTAAGTCATGATTCGTAAGGCACTCATTGCCAAAAATCGGTCTATTTTATGTTGAAGACGCATAGCTTATCCGATATTCTACCCTAAACAATGAAGCAGCCCTCAGGCGTGGCTCAGTTGTTCTCCCAAACGGTTTGGGACTCAAGGACAGTTTCCATTGTAAGCATACTCCTCTACATGATGCTAATAGGAACTGGCTGTAATGCTCCGGTTCCATTACGATTGAAGCGGCAGGCATTTTCGGATCGGCTTGACCACGACCCAGCTCTGACATGGTTATTCGAAACTGTCAAGAGTAGAAAATCTTTTATTGTACAAACAAGCAAAATCCATCAAAACTGAAACGTAGCCTAGCGTCTTGAAACGATTTGAGGTACACCACACAACTATAATAATTGTAGAAAAAGAAAAAGAAAGAAAGTATATTGATCGCTGCTCCCAAGCCCTCCTGAAAATGGATTACACCGACGGTTAGACCGGAAGTGAGAACTTCTTTCCTTTCATGACCCTACTCCTGTTTAGTGCATCATCAGGCTCTAAGATTCTCGGTGACTTACTTGGTATAATAGATATAAAAGAAATCCGAGTATAGAAGTGTTTGGACGATGCCTGCTACAACAGGGACGGGCTGAAAGTAGCTTTCCGCGAAATAGCGATAGATCCAATTAGGTATGTAGAGGGCGCGGTATAGACCCAATGCAAATAGGTAGTGAGTTGTTATAGTATCTGCCTCGCCGGTACGTTGAAGCATGAAGAGCTGAGGTAGGATGGCAACAGATTCAAGCCAAATCGAGAACGTCCAGAGAATCTTGCTATTGTCAGAGGCCGCATGGAAATACAAATGATTGATGAACTGACTTCGGAGAAACTATAGTCATGTGGGAAGAGAAGAGCTAGCAAAGCACCAATCCCGAGGAGGTATTGGACTTTGAATGTATCGATATTCGGATCATGTGTGGGTTTATAGTCATTAAGCATGAGATAGATGATATAGGCTGATGAGCCAATGAACAGTATCTTGAAAGTCGTGTTGTATAGAGATTCGGAAAAGGCCCAGAAGAGATCTAGAAGATCGGCAAGGATTAGAGAAGTCTTGCGAGAGGCGACGGCGAAGAGAAAATGAAGCCCTTACCAAGATAGCGAGTCACAAAAACCATCAAATACAAAGCCTGTGATTTGAATGACAGTCCAGAACAGCTCTAGCTTGCGGATTAGATTGAGCACTACAGGTGGCAAGCGGAAACCCATACACTAGACGACTTCATTTTATGTAGAAGAATAAAGATGGACGCGAGGTGCGAAAAATCAGCTAGTTCGAATGTTAGAACAATCGCAAGATAGTATCACAAAGCACTCACCCAAAAGCCTGAAGATGTTCATGATGGTTTAGAATCTGGGCGAGTTGGTTTAGGAAACACCAAATATATAATGAATGAAAGTGAAGATTGTTTGATGATGGGTTAAGGATTTCCTATAATCAATCGCCATGCAATTTGCATAAACCAGTGAGTTCCACTTTTGGTATGGAGCATAGTAATAGTTAGTCGCACCCTTGGGAAGGCCCTGAACAATGTTGACACGAAGCCACAACAAGCAGGCGCGACAAGCAAACTCCCCGCCCCACACACCGCGCTCGAGATGCCGCAATTCCACCTGCAGGGTATACTTGAGCTCTCTTTTCAATGAACTCAAATACCAACTATACACTCCTTTGCTCTTCTTTTCCTTATACTGCATATTTTATTTAGTTGTTTTAGTCTTCTCCCCCCCCCCCCGGCACCTTGTCATTGTTATTTTCATTTTTTAGTACTTGTATCAACCAATAAGAGAGCGAAAGGCAGAAATCCACATGGCTTTAGAATTTTGAGCAGTTCTCATTCTCAAGTGGCAATGATTCCCAGCATTGTATTCTGTACTTTCAGAAGATCGCGCTAACATGTGCGCTTTCACCATCCGCAATCCGCTGCAGGTGTCCCTCTGCGAGTTCACTTTTCAAAGCGCAAATGGAGCTATCTCTATCTAGTCTGTCCCAGTCCCGCATTCCAGTTCGTTTTGATTTCTGAGTGTCTGCAGTCTGCTCCATAAGCCGATCCCTGTCTGCGTCTAATTGCCAAAGGCGCTTTTCCGTGAGGGCATCTAGGTCAGATGGGAAGCATCTCCCCCCTGATATAATCGAACAAAGGCCCGTAAGATGATTCATGTACCTCGGGGTACGAGGATAGGGGGCTCCCGTAACACTTCCTTGGCGGTAGGTAGGGTGACGATGAGTATCCACACCCGGCCCTGGCATATGGCCACTGCGCGGGCCAGTCGGGGGCCCATAGGTCCCAGCCGACATGGGTCCACGGCGGGCGGGGACACTGGTCCAAACATTTTCCTTGAAGCTCGGCCCTCCGCGAGGACGAGTGGGAGCCGATAGTAGCGATATGTTTGAGCTATGGGTTTGCGAAGACAAGGACTTGGGCCCATGGGAGGGACCAGATGGCGGTGAATGGTCCTGTGCTGTGCTATATGCCCTTGGGTAGCTTGGAATACTGCCAGAATGTGCTTGATTCAATTCACTAGAGCCTTTCCCCTGGATCTCGAGGGAAGGAGCCCGACCCGAAATATCAGAGTCCGGTCCTTTCTCTGAAGAGCAACCGGCTCCATCCAGAAGCGGAAAATCACGTCCTGTCTCGTCTTGAGTCGGCTTGGTTTTGCTCAATGTTGCATGCTCGTGATGGGATGGCGAATGTTCCGAGTTCTTCGATAAGCGACGACAGGAAACTGGCTGAGATGCCGGTGACCTAACCCTGTTGTCGAACTGGAAACCACTGACCCTGTCTAGGAATGGTGATGACCGTCTCGAATTAGAAATCGATCCAGGGGCAGAGGTGTATGCAGAAGGAGCCCCACGGGGGGACGGTGATCGTCGTCTGTGGGCTATATAGTTCTCTGTATGGCGGTCCCTACGACCCTCTTGGATAGGACTCCGAGAACGAGGGACCATCGGTCCACGAGCGAAATTATCTCGCAACAAGCTACGCCTGGAAGGTGAAGCTGGTCTAGTGTACTGGTCAGATGCAGTCAGCGCAGGGCGCTCTCTTCTGGCTGGTCTAAAATCTAGGTTAGGTGATGGATCTCGAAGCCGCTTTGACATGTTCCGATTCCGGGAGAAGTCACGAGGTCGACTATCAGCATACGGTGACCTTATACGCCAAGAAGTAGGAGCTGGAGACCTGGGTCGTCCTTCGCGTCTGGGTGAGAATCTTCTTGGGGGGGAGCATGTCTTCAAGTATGAGCTAGGACCGTTATCTCTGTTGTAGAAAGACGGGCTTCGGGATGAGCGACCCCTAAAAGCGGGAGGTGAACGACTGCGTCCGCGACCATATGGCCGACTTGAGGATGGCACCCATGTATCAGCAACTAGACGAGGGGAACGATTCCGTGGCGATCTACTGCGTCTAATATAACCACGAGGACCTGCCGGGCGATAGCTCTCTCCGCCACGGTGATCATCAAATCTATGAGTAATTCGTTAGCCCAGGTTTCAAGACAAGAGACTGTCAACTTAGGGTGTAAGAGAGAAGAATAAAATGGCAAAAGAAGGGGGGTGGCGTAAACATGTACCTTCTGTTGCGATCCCAGTCCATTCGGCGACAAACAGACAAATTTTCGTAAAATAAATGTCACCGGACTGCGCAGAAAGTATCACTATGAATAGGCAGCTAGTATCTAGGCTAGAGACAAAATGGATGATTGAAGCTACACCTGAAAGCAGGTAATGGGCATGGGCCGAGACGCTGTCATACCTGTCTGAGACAGTTGACAGGGCAAGTATCACATGACTCAACTACCGATGTTGTTTGATTTTGTTTTGTCTCTCTCTTCAGTCCAACATACTCTTATTCAATGGACTACGCGTGTTGACAAGAATTGAATCTTGAATGGGAGACTAACCAGTCTGCTATGGCTTAAGAGAGGTCGAAGAATGGAGGGATCGCAAAAGACACTATCAGTACCTATTCGGCATAGTTATGCCCCTTGTATAATAGCCACTGCTCTTTGAGCCTTGCTTTCAGAATAATCAGACAAGAAGAGGATGAAAGATATTCTACAACATTATGAATCTCAAGAGATACAGAGCCGAGAACAACGACTTCCTTGATACAGGTGTTGTAAAGCATGCATGGTAAAAACTCGTTGGAAGCGATATCAGTGCCGGTTTCGTTTTTCTTCTTCCTTTTTGAGCCTTTTCCGACTTTCCTGGGCAATCATATCGCTTAGATCTTCCTGGAACCCCCAACTAGAATTGTTTTCCTGTTGCCTCTGGGATTCATAAAGCTTTCGAACATTTTCTTTGCTAAATCCCTCACTTGACTGTAGAGCATCTGGGTCCACAGAGACATCAACGTCGCCAGGCTTCTTGCGCTTCCGATTTTGTTCATCAGCACCGAGCACCGCCAAGTTTTCTGGAGGCGCAGCGAGATCATATACCCTGTCACCACCGAAGAAGCCCCGCACATTGGCCTGTCGCTCTGGGATAACTTGAAAAGCGCTCTTATGGCTTACAGGCTCTTCTGTCTGTGTGCCTCGATAGTGCTTGCGCACGTCAAATTCCCCTGAAACATTTTCTTCGCCAGCTAACTCAGAGGGAACAGATGATGCCAACCCACTTGGCGTCTCAAGTCCACTAGGAGTTTGCACGCCCGCTTCCATGTCCTCTTCGTCTTCCTCGTCTTCTTCATCCTCACTCTCCTCGTCAGAAGGCTCAGGTTCTTGTAGCTCACCCCAGAGATCCTTCTCAACAGGCTCGCCTTGCTGCATTGTCTGCTGCGGTTGCAATACACCAAATATATCACCTCCATAGAGGGGACGATTGTGCTCATCTACTGGTGGCTTTCCGTAGCCACCAGGATGATATCCCCACATGGCACCAGGAGGGGGGGGGGCGTTGAGACCTGGAATCTTCAAAGCCGGATATGATGGAGGTGGGCCGTACCTCTGTTGGTTGATTAACCAAGGAGGAGGGGCGCCCGGTGGCATATTGAGAGCTTCCTTGAGCTCAGCGCTAAGCTCACCGGGCCGTAAATGTCTAAGGTTGGTTTCATATTCCTTACCCTCATAGTAAACCTCGCCATAACGAGTAAGTTCCGGCTTAGTTTGAAATCGGAAAAATGCTTCGTATAGTTTCTGATAATCGATATCCAATCTTCCCATCTTTGGTTGTACCCTCTCTCTTTGCTTCTGTTTGAGTGTCGCTTGTTCTTGCTTCTCCAGGGCAGCATCGCGCATTTCCGAAATCCCAGTCTCCTGAATGAATTTAGGTAAAGCGAAAGGCGGTTTCTCAATTCCTCGCTTCGAAGAGAGGTATTCTCGTTTTAAGGACCAATGTGAAGGGACCGGGACAACATTGCGATGGGATTTTATGTGAACAAGAAGCCGAGGATCGGGGGCCGAAGTGTCTGTCCACTCGACAATTTCTGGTCTTCGAACCATTGCTTTCAATTCAGCAACAGAAAGCTTGTTCAGTTCCTTGCGCTTTCTTTTTGAGAGTTTGGGCGCCTTTTCTTCTTCGTCCGGGATTTCATCGTCATCATCAAAATATATTTCCGGCTTTTCGGGCTCTTTTGTTGATGTTGGGTTATCCCCGACCTCATCGAATCTGTCAATGATATGCTTATATACTTGCCATAACGGGTCCTCTAGGTCTGGAGACGCAGCATTATGCCCTTGATCGCCACTACCTCGTGAGACATCAGTCGATAGAACCACCTCTGTCTGAGATTTCGTATGTGTTTCATCAAGCGTCGCGTCGGTAGCCTAGAGAAAGTCAGTTTACTCTTGAGGTTTGCACCGTAATAAACGGACCTGCGTTTTCAAGGCTTTTTTCCTTGCCCTTCTCAATTGGTTCTTGCTTGACCTCATTATAAAAGCCCGTCAAACAAGAGATATGCTCGAGCGGCAACCTAGTATGCTCTACTTATTTCGCACTGTTGGGCATATGAATGCATATACAAATGATTGGTGAAGGTGAAAGCCAATGTACTGCGATGCTTTGATCAGAGGGGTTCAGACGTAAAATGAGTCGTGTTAAGGTACATCCTGTGACATTACCCGTCAGTATATCACGTGCTGATACAGATAGAGACTTGCTGTGTTTGTATTGATAACATAATGAAGATCATTGAAATGTCAAATATTACTGCGTATAAGCTACGTATTATCTACCCAGCTAGTTGCAGGGCGGCGAGGCTTTTTTACCAAACACCAGTAGCGCGAGTAACTGACTATTTATCTCATGAACGAGTGATCTACCGTGACATTAAAATCTAAGTCTACGTACATAGCCTTTGTTTTCTCTGATTTGGTAGAAACCCGTGAGAGCGTAGACTGGAAACATTTTCGAAATTGAGGGGATTCAGTTGCATAGGGCACATCCAAGCCTACAGAGGTCATCTTCGGAGGTTTCAAGTAAACCCATTAAGCTTCTGTATATCTCTAAGAGTTTCAGATCGGACTGAGCGAAGATTCACAGTCACAAAGAGCAAGTAATGAGCATCTATGAATATCCCAGAATAAATCTGATGAAACAAAATTGCGC